AGCTGATAAAAACATCACAATAATCCACAAGTAATCCACAGCACTCCAGTCCATCAGTTAACATCTGGAGAAGACAAAAGCTGAAACACATCCAGCATTAAGACGTTTTTATCTAAAACACGAGTCCATAATGTCCAGTGAAAAGTGTTCTGGTCTGAATCAGGAGCGAAATCTGCTCAGATCAAGCAGCGTTTACAAGCCAAAACAGCTCTAAACAAACATGTGGGTTGCAAATGAATTTGTAAAAGTACATTATTATTCTTTTTTGTAGAATATTTCTTGTATTCATTCAATTAATTCATAAAATCATAAAAACTGCATGCATAATTATAGAAAGATGAGCAATACATTGAAAATAGTTTTAAAGTTGAGCGTCAGCTTCATGAAAGTGTATCATGTCTCCTGCACTTTTATGAATTTACTTGAGAAAGTAAATCAGTCATTTGTGTTCAACAATTTAAATTTTTTTATACATTATTAATATATTAAGTTATAAAATGTATTAATATATTGTATGATTGTTATTAATGATATATATATATATATACTGTATATATAAATTATATATATATTTAAAATGTTGGTAACACTTTAGGACCTGAGTTGACCTTGAGTTTAAGTTGCTTATTAGCATGCATATTACTAGCATATTGGCTGTTTATTAGTACTTATGAAGCACATATTAATGCCTTAATCTGCAGGATTATATTTTAGATCTTTTAATCCCCCCCCCTTAAAATAAAGTGTGATCCAAATGTGTGCTAAACAACAGTACATCTTGTACAGCTTCGTAGTTTATTCGTTCATGTAATTTTAATCTTAGGACTTGTCAGAATAGATGACTTCTGAGCTGAGATACTGAAGGCACTGAGAGGAACACGGGCTGCAGTGATTCATCTGAAATTGTTGTTATGTAATGACAGCTTTAATAATAACTCTGTGTGCCGTCGTCAGGTTAATGTGAGCGGGAAATGAAGCTGGTCACTCATCTTCTGCTCGGTTTACATGGACGTTCTGCTCGCAGTAATTACTTCAGAATGAAACGGCTTCGTGAAGACAAACACAAGCTCCTGTGGGATTCATTCTTAGTTTGGCAGAATATTCTTTATAGTGTTGATCTGACTCTCTCACACACACACACACACATACTGTATGTATATATATATATATATATATATATATATATAACCCGAGGGTTTGTTGATGTGTAACATGTATGACATGCGGTCACACGCCCATGAGACGACTCTACAGCGCTCATGTAACTGAATGATACACGCTCTACGCTGTTATTAAGATGATTCATGTAATTACAGGCTGAACCGCTGCAGCAAACACACGCGCGCTCTCATGCAGGCTGTGCATTCACCACTTCACCTTTCTGATCTCCAGCGAGGACCAGCGGCACCTCCGTGGCCTTTACCAGACTGGTTTCTGGGTAGAGAGCGAGCTCTGAAGCAGTGCTTCTCAAAGACCCACACTCTCAGGACAGGACTCAGTGCCAAGATATTTGTTTTCTGATGTAACCGTGACAAAAGCTGCTTGTTTTCAACAATATATATCAAATTAATTCAACTTGATAATTAATTTCATATGTAAAATAATTAGCCTCAATTCATTTTGTGATTTCAGAAGTTGTTCTGCATTCCAGAACTGCATGTTCTTCAGTAAAAACAATTGTTATTGGAGTTATTTTCAGCATTTTAATTTGATAATGTTTTATTCTTATTTATTTATTATTATATTTTACTATATTAAGAGTGTTTTATTTTTCATTTAAATGCGTTAAAAAGTCATCATCCAGCCTTTCTTGAAAGATGGATAGCTGAGGGTCCCTGGTTAAGAACCGCTGTTTTAAACTATTTTTTATATTGCGTTTTAACAGCACACCACACAACACAATTGTATTTAATATAGGCAAAATAGGCTGGAAACTGCAGGGAATCGGCTGTATGGCTACATTTGTTGGCTGTAGGTAGGGGCTGCAGTGATTCATCTGAAATTGTTGTTATGTAATGACAGCTTTAATAATAACTCTGTGTGCCGTCGTCAGGTTAATGTGAGCGGGAAATGAAGCTGGTCACTCATCTTCTGCTCGGTTTACATGGACGTTCTGCTCGCAGTAATTACTTCAGAATGAAACGGCTTCGTGAAGACAAACACAAGCTCCTGTGGGATTCATTCTTAGTTTGGCAGAATATTCTTTATAGTGTTGATCTGACTCTCTCACACACACACACACACATACTGTATGTATATATATATATATATATATATATATATATAACCCGAGGGTTTGTTGATGTGTAACATGTATGACATGCGGTCACACGCCCATGAGACGACTCTACAGCGCTCATGTAACTGAATGATACACGCTCTACGCTGTTATTAAGATGATTCATGTAATTACAGGCTGAACCGCTGCAGCAAACACACGCGCGCTCTCATGCAGGCTGTGCATTCACCACTTCACCTTTCTGATCTCCAGCGAGGACCAGCGGCACCTCCGTGGCCTTTACCAGACTGGTTTCTGGGTAGAGAGCGAGCTCTGAAGCAGTGCTTCTCAAAGACCCACACTCTCAGGACAGGACTCAGTGCCAAGATATTTGTTTTCTGATGTAACCGTGACAAAAGCTGCTTGTTTTCAACAATATATATCAAATTAATTCAACTTGATAATTAATTTCATATGTAAAATAATTAGCCTCAATTCATTTTGTGATTTCAGAAGTTGTTCTGCATTCCAGAACTGCATGTTCTTCAGTAAAAACAATTGTTATTGGAGTTATTTTTAGCATTTTAATTTGATAATGTTTTATTCTTATTTATTTATTATTATATTTTACTATATTAGGAGTGTTTTATTTTTCATTTAAATGTGTTAAAAAGTCATCATCCAGCCTTTCTTGAAAGATGGATAGCTGAGGGTCCCTGGTTAAGAACCGCTGTTTTAAACAATTTTTTATATTGCGTTTTAACAGCACACCACACAACACAATTGTATTTAATATAGGCAAAATAGGCTGGAAACTGCAGGGAATCGGATGTATGGCTACATTGTTGGCTGTAGGTAGAGTAGGTTTTCCTAGTGCACCTGTTTTGCAAAAAACGTGGTTGCTCTTTATTTTACAGCATGTGTACTTATTTACTTACAGTGTCTAAGAAAGTACTGGGTAGTATAAGGTAACTACATGGGTTAAGGTAAGGTTTACGGGTAGGTTCAGGGTACCTACACTCTAAAAAATGCTGGGTTAAAAAGGGACAAACCCAGCTATTGGGTTGTTTTGACCCAGGCAATAGCTGGGTTTGCCCCTTTTTGAACCCAACCGCTGGGTCAAAACAACCCAATAGCTGGGTTTGCCCCTTTTTGAACCCAACCGCTGGGTCAAAACAACCCAATAGCTGGGTTTGCCCTCAAAACAACCCAACCGCTGGGTCAAAACAACCCGACCGCTCGGTCAAAACAACCCGACCGCTGGGTCAAAACAACCCAATAGCTGGGTCAAAACAACCCGACCGCTGGGTCAAAACAACCCTATAGCTGGGTCAAAACAACCCGACCGCTGGGTCAAAACAACCCGACCGCTGGGTCAAAACAACCCAATAGCTGGGTCAAAACAACCCGACCGCTGGGTCAAAACAACCCGACCGCTGGGTCAAAACAACCCAATAGCTGGGTCAAAACAACCCGACCGCTGGGTCAAAACAACCCAATAGCTGGGTTTGTCCCTTTTTAACCCAGCTCTGGGTTATATTTAGCCCAGCATTTTTTAGAGTGTAGTTATTGTAGTAACTGTAATAACTACATAGCATGTACATGCAGAACAGGACTGTAAAATAAAGAGCTACCAAACACAAATGATTTAATGTGTCATACATTAGTTTTCTCATTAACGTTACACATGACACTGTTTCGCTCGTGGCTGAGAGCTCATTCTTGATGAACTTCGATGGTAATTGTATTTCACCACACAGAGACTGATGGCACATGACTCTGCTGTTGTTAAATGTCTGATCTGGGTTTCGTGTGTTATGTAAAAGAGCCACGAGGAGGGTCTTTAGCTGAGATCGTGTGTGTTGTAAAGTATCTGAGGGTCAGTAGAGTTTGTTCGTCGTGTTCACTTCAGCTCGGCGCTTCGGTCCCGTCTCTTTCAGCTCGCTCTTTACAGATACACTTATGTCTCTCCGAGGATTTTGTTTTTTTGACTTGGCGCAGACTTCAAAGTGAGAAGGCCGCTGAAGTTGTTTTTTTTGTTCGGCTCTTATTAGCATGTCAATGACGCGGAGCTTTTGACAGCCAGGTGTGCCGTAGAAGAAAGAGGCTCCCCACACACAATCCAAACTCACACACTCATGTCTGACCTCTGTCTTCAAAAGGACGTTTATCTTCAGTCTCGGCGCGAGTTTAGTTTGGTCTTCAAACATGCGTGTTGTGTGGAGGATCAGTGCTTGAAAAGGGCTTTTGCATGTTCAGATGTTCATGTACTAAACCGTCATGAGATGATGATGATGATGATGCACACCTGCTGTTCCACTTTAAACATCACGAGAGCAGATCTCTGCAGCCTAAAAACAGCTACACACTCAGTATCATTCACTTGTGTTTTTATGAGGTTTTGGTCATTTTATTTGAACAGCTTTGTAATCTCCAGTTCTTCTGTCCTGCAGATCTGGGACATGAGTGATGACGAGAGCATTTGAAGGCCTCTGGACCAAACCGCTGGAGACTCCAAATGAAGCTCCTTTAACTGGCTGTGATGTTCCTGTCAGCTCATCTGTTCTCTTGTATTCATTTTCAGACACTGTTAACGGCATACAGTGACCTCACTGCACATGGATCCTTCGTGCACTTGTTGAAATACTTGTCTTAACCATTCACGTAAAATCTCATTATAGCTGTGTCAGGAAAGATGGCAGAATTAAAGCGATGCAAATAAACCTGCTGTGAACTGCTCTGGTCTAGATATCCAGTCCAGTGTTGTTCTGTCTTAAAAGGATAGTTCACCCAAAAATTAAAAAATGAGAAATGTCATAATTGACGCACCCTCATGTTGTTCCAAAACACAAACCAATTGTTCATATTAGAAACACAAAAGTAGTATTTTTTTTTTCTCCATACTATGTAAGTCGATGGCTACCAGCAACTGTTGGGTAATCAACATTAGGAAACTCATACAGGTTTGCAACAACTTGAGGGTGAGTAAATGATGACAGATTCTTCATTTTAGGGTGAACTAACCCTTTAAAAGGCCTGTTTTAAGCATATCCCTGCCCCCATTTTTTTTTTTCTCTCCCCTGGACAATTTTTGGGAATGAAATCATCAGCCATCATTGTCAAGGGCGGTTAAATATGGCATATATGCTGACTAAGATCCTTTGTCTTCAGGCATTTTTTAAACTGGCCTAATGTTCATTAAAAGAGTGTTAGATTATGGCAGGTGTCTGAGCCTTGCGTTCAATGCCAATGCAAACACACCTGAACTGAAGAATTGTGTTACGGGTCAGTGTAAACCACAGCACTGAACTCTTGGTTTGTATTCCCAAGTGAATGTGCTCATCTCTGCTGGACTGTACTGTAGATCCAGTCACTCAACCTCATCTCTATCATTGCACTGTAACAGTCTAGACATGTGGCTTTTGTTTTGGTTCATTTTTTTGTGCATTTGTTCACATAATAAAATTATATTCACATAATCCATTCTTTGTAATATTTCCTTGCTTTTGGTCACTTAGGTAAGTGGGTTAATAATAGTAATGGTGCATCCGTGTCCTGAAATCACCATAGAAAGATTACGACTCAAGAGCTTTATTAGTGATGTTCATCGTCTCAGGCTTCGTTGTTGGTAATGAGAAAATGAAGCAAACTGAAACGCTATATATCCTGGCACATGCTCAGTGATGATAGAGCAGTTTATTTCATTGGGTTTACAAATTGCAACGGAGTTTTTACTAAAACTCTTATGGAATTACAGTAATTCTGACATTTTCCCCAAGAGTAATCACCTGTTTTCACAAAGGACGAATCATAAGTCTCGGGCTGTGGTTTAAGAGCACTTTATTGTTCATTGAGGCTACTTAAAAGTACAAAACAATGGCCTGCCAAAAGTTTGTTTTATTCCAAGGAGAAACAAGGCCATGAAATGAGGGTATAATACAGATTTACAAATGAAGAAGTACACTCGAGGTGCAGTGAGAAGAGTTTTAAACGGTTGGTTTCTTGTCGTCGTTCTCCTGGAAGCACACATCAAATAGAAAATCTTCTTGCTCAAATCCCAAGCGATGGTACTGGAGTGGAGTAACTCACTCAAGACTCGAGTCCGTTTGTTCAATTGTCTCCAGAGACAGTCGAAAGCCTCCGTTCAGAAGTGTGTCGAGACTCAGTAGCCTTCAGAAATAATACACAAGTGGCTATTACACTAACGCAGTGTTTTCATAGAATAACTGTGTTCCTGCACTTTAACCTTAAACAGACAAAACCTACAAACAAAAAAGATCAACTTTTTTCCTCGGAAAAAAAAAAAAAGCATGATTACAATAAAGGACAAGGGAAAAATTAAATAGCTACATATCAACAAATTAATTGTTCCTCAAAAAATACCTACGATTTGTTTTCTCTGTACATTCGTTACGCACAGCGTAATGATGGTCTTATAGTTTCCTATATAAAAACGTTTTTTTGTTGTTTTTAAGTAAGTGATTTATCTACAGCGTGTAGGGTAACGTGTGCCACAAGCAGAAAGTGAGAAAGTGTCCTACCCAGTAAACTGGTCATGAAATGTGTGTGTGACGGAGGATGAAATCCTCAAGGTCTCGCGTACGATACGACAAGGTTTTGTGGCAAATACATGCAAAAAGAGCAGATTGTGAAATCCGAGTCGGCGAGTACTTTTGAAGAGCGCGTCGTGTTTGAATTCAGGGCCGATGGAATGTAAGGACGAGCTCAAGCGTCTCCTGTATCTGCAGCCTCCTGTCAGTCTCTAGTTAGTAGCTACACTGAACACGGGAGAAAGTACAAGACCTGCATGACGTTCCCTATCGGAGGAATGTGTTGTGTTTCGGTACAGGCGGACCGTTGGAAAACCGGGTCCGTTTCGAAAGCTGAATGCAGAATTAAGAGATGAAGAACGACAACCACACACACACGCGAAATTAGCTCGACGTTTTCCGCAGATTGTCAATGCTGCAGTTGACCTGTCCATAGCTGCGAATGCTCTTTTTTCAGTCATGCAAAGCGACAGCATCCTGTACCACGGATTAATAACATACAAAACCAAACGGTAATATATAGATGGCCTGTCCGGAGGCGGTTTTCTCTCTTGTATCTGGCAGCTACCACAATGAATATTGAATAGAAAATAATAATATGGAGTACAACTGTACCAGCAGTAAGTTTATCTAGGACTGTTACTGACAAAAATAAAATAAAATCTGAAGAAAAGGCTAAAAGTATTACGATCGAAATGTCTACACAATAATAGATACCAGCTATTTTAAAAACATGCACTTATAAGCACTAGCTTACCCTTAAACCGTCTACTCTACTAAAACCACAGTGCCTGGGAAAAACCAACCCAAAACCAGAAGAATGCCCACGTCTGCCGCAGTCCAGTTGTGTCAGCGCCGTAGAGAAGCCAGAGCCGAAGCGACCGGAAAAAGGTTCCCTCCCCTAACCAAGGTTTCCTGCGAAAGCGATGTGAACCGCTCCACCTGTGTCACCCTCCAAAACAAACACCCAAATCATGTGTATCCAACGCTAAACGGACACCACCTCCATCCATCCATAGTGCAAAATCAGTCCAGGCCTTCCGCTTCAAGTATACACATACAGATTCAGGACACAACCGGGAGAGAGTGTGAAAGACAGAATGCGATGGGTGCCATGGAAGAATGGCTTCTGGGTGAAAGGTTTGCATCAGCAGTTTCTTTGGTATCTGAGGCAGATGGTTCGATAGTGTCTGGCTGATTTTTATCTCCAAAAAAAAAAAAAAACAAGGTATGGGCATCCCATAACACAACAGCCAAGCCAAAAGTATACTAGCATACTTACAAACAAACAAAAAGAATCAAAAGGAAAAAAAGCACAACTGAAAGTTGAAGGAGCACCTCCTCGTCGTGCGTTCTTATGTACATAGCTATACATCAGCTCTGCTAAAACATGCATGGTTGCTTTGAGAGTGAAGCGGCTGGAAGAAGACTGGGGTTCGCTGGTCCTCTTTTCAAGACACGAGGGAAGGGGAGTGACTATGGTTGACCATGTGGCCGTTGGGAGAGGAGTCTGGGCTTCCGGAGGAGCTGCCCTTGGCCTTGATCTGCAGCCACGTCTCACCCAGCGCCTTGGCGAAGTGGTCGTCCACCGAGCCGGTGATGGACACCGAGTTTGTGACCGGCTCGGGCTCCTTGTAGTTCTTTCCCAGGCTGCGGCGGAAATGCTCCTCGATAACAGGGTCGCAGGCTGTGTTAGCTGAGACAGAGAAACGCTGCTTAGCACACGGTACGTCAAAGACAAGACCTCTAACAGACAGAGCTAACACATGGCACTTTCCACAGGTAGGGTACAAAAACTCAAATGTGGGACGTTTGTTTGCTTTTATTCATTTCTATTATTGCCTAGTGAGCAATTCCAGCATCACAGCCACTAAAATGTGAAATGTAACTATTTATCATCAGAAAACTGAACCACCTGTATGTGTGCATGTGTTAATACTAATACCCTGCAGGTAGAGTCCAGACATTGGTGTAAAAAAATAAAAAAATAAATTATTACATCAGGAAAATATTTCAGTTACGGATGTAACAACAGACATTTTGAGAGACAAACACTTTGCAGGAAGTCAATCTGTAACTCATTCTTGTGGTTGATTCAAGAAGGGAGAACATTTCAATATACTTCATATCTACTTATGTTAGCTTTGTACAAAACTTTGATCATTTTTACGTGAACCTACAGAAGTGGAAGACATCTTTTTTGTTTTGAAACCACTTAAATACGGCTGGCAGAATAATCTTCTTGTACTGATGCACACTTCATATATGTGGTGATTGGATAATGCAATTTACTTTAAATGTACAAAATTAGGATTTTTCATAGTTTGACTAACATTTCTCAGGTCTAAGTTTATAGAATATACAAAACATTAAAAAAAAGGAAAAAGCTTTAAAAAAAAAAATCTGGATCAATTTATTTCCAATAAACAAAAAGATTTGTTGGCCCTTCATAAAACTTCTGAAATGTAAAACTGGTAATGAGGTGGTTGTTCTTGACTACATTACAGTTCAATTATAAGAACAATTATAAAACCCAAGGAAAAAAAGATTAGATACACCATACACTAGAAATGGTCTGAATGATGTCACTTCCTGCATGTCACAATTGCTCCATTTCTGGTATCTGTAATAGGATCACACACAAAAGGTGCAAAACATTTCATGTTTACTTAATTTATTGAAGATCTATTTTATTGAATACTAGTTCCCTGTGTAAAGGACGTGGCATCAGTGTCTTTATTAAGAGATATAATTGGACATAATTTTGTAGCCCATCCATGAACAGTGCCAGCTCTGATCCGGTCACGTTGTTTGCACTTACAGTTGGAGGCTCTGCGGTAGCTTGAAGTCAGGTTGGGTGAGCAGCCGTTGTGAGACACGGTGCAGTGGGTGAGGTTACAGTTACGGTTGTTCGCTGGGGCACATGTGATCACAGAGGGACGATTCTGCCCACACAACACACACAGCTGGGGCACATGTGATCACAGAGGGACGATTCTGCACACACAACACACACACACACACATATATATATATATATACATGAGCAGTAGAGCAAGTGTCCAAACAAACAGAACTACTGAACAGTGCTTTCAGATACGTCTACACTGTAGAGACCTACGAAGAGTCTAGACTTGCTGTTCATGAGATTAATTAATAAAGTCTTCTGTTCACGTCAGTGGATAGTTTAGCTTTTTTCTTCAAAACTGAAATGTAGCTAAACATGGTTTCAGGGCAGTTCTGATTCATACCAAAACAAAACTCTTATTATACATGTTTTCGTGAATAACAAAGATGAACCTTGATTCTAAACATCAATATCAAGACAAAACCAAACATACTTCAGCATTTATTTACGTTTTAAAAAAAAGGTACAAAGCTTTCTGCTTCTTTTAAAGGGATAAGTTATAGTTAAAAGTATCTACTCAACCTCATGTTTGGTGACTGACTTTCTTGTGTGGAGCATAAAAGATTTTAACATTTTGAAGAATGTTGGTGACCAAACAGTTCCATTCCCATTGATTTCCATTATATGGACAAAAAACAAATACATAATATATATATATATATATATATATATATATATATATATATATATATAGAATTT